TAAATGCACATTTGCCACTGCTTTCAGCCTTCTCACAGGAAGCATGAACCTCAGTTTTTTTTAATCTATAAATGGGGCCAATAAGAGTTTCTACTATTTGGGTAACCAGATAATTATGTGCGATAGGTAAAGGATCAACACAGAGCTGGGAACTTCATGTTCAGGACTATTTATCTATTGTTGCTACTGTTATGCACCCCCCTAAGTACCACTAATTAAGTTAAATGATGTCTCTGGGTGCTGAAAATACTCTAAGGAATAGATGTGGCAGGAACAGACGTGGCCAGAGGAGAGAAAGTAGGTCTGGGCAGGGTAAAAATGACAGGAGTAGAGGTGAGAAGCATATACGCAGGGGACCTCGTTGTTACTACTGGCCCGACAAACGAACAACTTGGGTTAATTAGGTTAATGGAAGATCCATCTGCCTCTTGTTATCTATAGTGTGTACACAGGTACACATCCAGATTTCAGCTGTATTTACTTACAAACAACTTGAGTTACAACCAGCCCTTGGGAACCAATCAAAATTGTAAGTCAAGGGTCCTCTGTGTGTGTGTGTGTGTGTGTGTGTGTATTATAAATTACATATTTAAATATGTAACACACACCATAGTAATTTTTAAAACAAGATTAATTTAGCTCATTTATTTGGGACACGTTTACAAATTTCTGGCCTCTACTTGGCTAGTTCTCTGGATTCACCAACATGACCTCCCCCATCTCTGAACTGCATGGATGCAGGCCCACTACAGGTGAAATGACCCCAGCCAGTAGGCTAAAACTCCAGGCCAGATAAGTTATGTTTTCCTAAAGGGTCAGTAGTGTTTCCTCCTAAAGTGGCTTATGTCAGCTGCACTTCTCTGTAATTACATAATTTAATTAGCAAACGTAAAAAGAGAGTTGCTGATTCTAAGAAAACTTAATTTAATGCTTAGGAACAACTTGAGAAAGGCAAGTCACTAAAAGAATTGGCAAAGTAGGTATGAGTAAGTTCATAAAACACTGTAAAAAATAAAAATCTAGAAGGACTGTGAATTAACAATTTCTTCTTAAATGCCTTTCAGAATGGCAAACATCATTTATCATAAATCTCTATTTAAAAATTTTCAAATAGCCAACTTACTAGTGTTCTAATAGCTGTAGGGAAAAACCTTTACAGTTTAAACCTAATAGCTAACAATTACTGAAGGTTTCCTTGATGCAGGGCACTTGCTGAGTGCCTCATATACAGAATCTCATGTCATCCTTACAATCCATCACAGATTTAGAATAAAGAAATATTGCTATTATAGTCTACCGCCACACACTGGGAAGTGGCAGGGCCAAGATTTGAGCCCAGGGAAGTTTGACTTCTGAGTCCACGCTTTTAATCACTAGAAATCTGATCTTCATTCAAATAGCACACTAAAATATTGGACCAAGACCATATGCTAAAACTAATATCATGGAACTCTGCTAAAGAGTTGTTCTATTTTGGATATTGTTGCCTTTTAGAATGTTAACTTTGGTGGACATGCTTTGTCTCCTTACTAGTCTTGCTTTGGTTAAGCAATGTAAAACAAATTTCTATCTCTGGGCATGCAACCCCCTCCCCTAAGAGAACCCTCCCTCCCCCCACAGCCTAGGACTCAGAGGCACTCACGCCTCCCTTCACAGGATAAAGCAGCGTGAGCAGAAAAATCATCACACATATGACCTGTCTCATTAACAATGCCTGAAAACAAGGCCTCAGCAGATCTGTGCAACATGCCATATGGTAAGAACTGTTACATAATTTCTAAGTCAACAGTTTAGAATCTCTCAGGCCACAGAATGTTCACATCCACACTGACCCCCAGATATGCCACCACCAGGCCGGTTTTTACGTCTGGCATGAAAGATATATAGAAAACCAGGAAGAAAATAACAACCAACGTTACAGAAGCCACTGTTCACTACCAATATGGCACATTTTAGGAAATGATTTCTCTAAAAAAAATTAAAGATTGTCAGTAATGTCTTAATTGCAATCAGCAGTGATTTAAACATTTACAAAGACTGTTCAAGTTTATCAGTGCTGACTGTAATGAGAGCTTTATAATCTCCAATGTGTACCTCTGTATGTGTATGTGCATATATGAGGTTGGCAGGGGATATGGGTTAACACAGGAATGTCATCCTTTAAGTGCCTAATTCTGTAGTTTTTATGTTTTTTCCCTCAGTTCTAACATGAGAAGACTTTTTATACTTTAGACTCAGAATTATCCAAGAACAAATAGTATTATGACTACCTTGCCAAAGGGTAATAGAAGGAAGAGAATATATTTTAAATGTAAAATCTCAAGCATGACCCAGTGCAATGCAAATGGCTTAACAAACAGCCTTTGATTTGCCTCTGAGAAGTCCACTGGCACAGCAGGGCAGCTGGAGAAAATGGCTGATTTGGTTTTTATCAATAAGCTGGAAGTGACCTGAAACAAGAGGACCTAAGAGGCCCTATCTCCTCCTGTCCCTCTCTGGCCACAGATGAGGAAACAGAGACCCACAAAGGTCATCTTACCCAAAGTCTAGCAGCTTGTGGCAATAAAGCCCAGGATGATGCTTTCTCTGTCCAAAGTACTGATGCAACTACCTGACTGCTACTGTGATGTGACAATGATCACAGGGATCAATACTGGGTCCCAGGTACTGGGTTAAGTACTTTAGATGAGTGAGTCATTTAGTTCTCAGACCAGCCTTATGAGATCAGAACTATTATTACCCTTAATTAACACAGGAGGAAACAGAAGCACAGGGAGATGCAGTGACTCACCCGGCCTTAGACAGCAGGTGGTGGGGCTGGGACAGACACAGACAGTCTGACCTAAGAGCCCGTACTCTTCAATTGCTCCAACCAACTCACTGCAATGCCTTCATATATTAGAAAATTATGTGTTTCTAAATCAAAAAGGCTGCAAGTGGGAGCTCTTGTTATAGCCGCTGATAAACAGCATGCACAATGAGAGTTTAACACTTTGACACACATGAAACGTAGGAGCCCTTGCTTCCCTCCCTCTCAATCCTCGCACTATCCCTCTCTCTTCCTGCCACCTCCCGGTTGTGAGAGCGGCTTTGAGAGTCCTGATTCAGTATCAATGATGCCATTATTCATTGAGCCTGACAAATAGGTTGGTTTCAGGAAATACGTGCTTTCCCCTCTCTATTTCCCCTATTTCCCACCAAAGAATGAATGCTTCTATCTTAATGTTTCTATTCACAATTAAGAATTGCTATTTTTGTTAAATGAAGAAAAAGGAAATCAAATTAGTAAGGAAATCAATTTCCTAGTAATATATTTACTAGGCAGAAAATTTATAATGGATGAAAACCTGACAGAATAGCAGCAAAGAATTTTACTTTTTTGCTAAGGGGTCATATTATTTACACAATAATGGACATATCTAAAGAATAAGAAAAATTTTCCCCAAACTTTGTAACTAGACATTGCTCTATGAGCCAAGAGACCCTATTTCAGATGTAACCAGAACATAACACTCAATGTGATCAGGCAACCAAAAATTTAGCAAATTTTAGATTATCAGTAAGTTTGAAAAATAATTAGCTTTAAAATATCTTAATATTTCTAAGCACACTATTTGTAATGAAGAGCTACAAAACTCTTAAGTTCTACAACTTCATTTATCATTTATCAATTTTGTCATTTAGACTTAATGAAGTTGTATCTGGTTTAAAAAAACAGTTTGCCCTGTATCTGTGCTGGCAAACCTATGGCTCGAGTGCCCCAGGGAGGTGTTTATATCATTGAAAGTTCTAAAAGGCTGGCCATCACTGCCTTGTATCCTCGGACACGAATGGTACCCTGCAGAAGGTGGAGTGGTTTCGGTGACCAATAGTGGAAGACATGATTCTACGAGACACAGGCAAAAAGCGAAAAACCACCTTTCTTCTGTATTATATTAACCACACCATGCCAACAATCTCTACTTTTCACTCATACCAGTCTAAACTTCTTAGCTCTTAGAACTTCCTGTCATCTGGCTCACCCCACACACATGACGGGTCATCAAAGGCATCGCTCAGGACACACCTTCTGCTCAGAACACACCTTCTGCTCAGAATGGTGCTACCACTGTGATCTTCCCTTTTGGAAAAAAATTAAAGTATCATTTATGGACACCTCCCACTAATCAGCACTAAAAGCTTATGTAAGCCCTAAATAACTGTATGACATAGCTATGGACATTTCCATTTTACAGAAAAAAACTGTAGTTCAGAGTTACCCAAGAGAACCTGGGTGTGGTGGCAATGCCCATAATCCCAGTACTTTAGGGGACTGTGGCAGGAGAATCACAAGTTCCAGCCCAGTCTGGGCAGCTTAGTGAATTAGCCAGATCCTGGTTCAAAATTTAACAACTAAAAAGGGCTGGGGATATAGTTCAGTCTCCAGTATCACAGGAAGAAGAAGGGAGGGCCGGGGATTTAGCTCAGTGGTCTGCCATCTGCCTCTCAAGCGCAAGGACCTGGGTTCGACCTCCAGTACCACAAAAAAGAAGAAGAAGAAGGGAGGTGGGCTGGAGTTATCCAAGAGCACCACACAGAGGTCCTGAGGTTCAAACTTGGCCAGCCTTCAGTGCCCATGTGTTTGCCTTCATGCCATGTCACTTCCTCTTGTCTACAAGCATTCCACATTCCCCTTTGACTAAACCTATGCTTCACTTTTTTTAATTGACAAGAAAAAAATCATATACATTGATGGTGCTACACAACACATTTTGATACATATATATGCACTGTGGAATGGCTAAAATCAGGCTATTTAGCACACACATCACCTCAAACATTTATCATTTTTTTTCTCCTATGCCCAGTTTCAGCCTCATCTCTGGGACGCCTTCCCCAGTAACTCCAGCCTACCCAGCTTTTGTCTCTCCTTCCATTTCCTATAAAATTCGGGATTAAAAAAATCATTTCAAAACTGTGGAGAACACCTTAAAATAAGATGGAATTGTATAACCATAAGTGTGCTGTAACCCTAAAGTGTGCTGTGACTTTAAGAGTGCTGTGAGTGATATGTAACCATAGTAACCATAAGATATAGAAGTAGAACCTTAAGCGGTGTGGAACTGATAAGGATGCACCCCGAACTGGACAGGGCGTGGTCCAAAATGGACAGTGTGATACGTCTGAACCAATACCGCAAACGCCCAGTTAGAATAGTATAAAAGGAGCTGAAGACCTCAAGCAAGTCGACAATCCGTCCCACGGACCAGTCTACTAGTCAGTCTGTTGATCTGACTACCGACAGGGACACATGCACCTTATCCCGCTGGAAGGAGCATCGCCGCCCACCAGACGAGACCAGAGGACGAGGCCAGCGGAGAGACGGACAGCCTAGCGCCGACTGGACGCCCTTCGTCTATGGATCGGACGCTCTGACCCGACGGGAGGAAACGTCGCGCTCCCATAAGGACTTGCGCAGTACAGGTACAGGGACGTGGTAATTGGCAAACTTAATATTGTCTTATTTAATATCGTGTGATAATTGCATAGAAGTGAATTATAATAATATGTATGTGAACTGCCAGCCGAGGTAAAGAGTCCTCTTTACCCGCAGTACCTGCTTGCGACAAAAACATTGTTTGATATGCATTTATTTTGCTTCCCAACTTATTTACTTTATTTCTCAAAGGCTTCCTGAGCTGCGCACACAGTGGAGGCTTTACGAATACCTGAGGGATTATCCTGAGGCACTCTGGCTTCCTGGATTATATAGGAGGTAACAAAAATAGCCTCTGGGCTGAGGCCCAGAACGGGTGGTGGGGAGTTATAAACAAGAGGGTGGGAAAGGTAGCCTGGTGCTTTTTAAACATAGTCCAGGGATGGTGGATTTTACTCAGGAGGTCGTGAGTGGTCATGAGTGGGAAATATCTGAGAATGAGAAAAGCTCCTGTTCAGGAGGATTTACTGCCTGTATCCTAAAGAACATTCACTGAACACAGTGAGTCACGGGGCTCTGTATAGTGACTGCATTTGTCCCCGTTTGTCTCTGCAGCCACAGAAAATATCCTATGTTTGTTGTTGATTTAAATCTAAAAGCACACATATGGTACACAAATACATATTATGCTAACCATCAAGAAAAACTATTCCATATTCTGTAGAATTTATTATGTAAAGTCCCAAAAGGACGAGAAAAGACCAATTACAGTCAACATTAAGAACTACTTATTCATTTTAATAAAATATGCTGCTAAAGTTGCAGGAATAAAGTCTGGAAAGGCTAATTTACCCAATGTAAGCAACTGAAGGAATCTTCCTAGTGCAGCAATGATTAACTTTTGAAAATGTTATGTGTCAAACAGCTTCTCAACAAGTTTGTTTTAGGTGACAAGGAAAAAGCTAACAATAAACAAGAGTTAACTTTCTGCAAACAAATTCCTCTTACCTTGAAATCTAAGACCTACATTTTCCTGTTTAACTAAATGAGGAAGTAATTCAGATGATGCTGTTATGAGGAGAAATAATGGGGGAAAACTCACTGAGATAAAGTATCTAGTTAATTGTATCGTGCAACACTGTGACTATAGTTAACACTGTACTATAATCTTAAAAATCTCTGAGTAGATTTTAAGTATTTTCATCACAAAAAATAAGTATATAAGATAATGTTAATTAGCCATTCCATAATATACATATTTCTTTTTTTTTTTTTTCTTTGGTACCAGGGATCGAACTCAGGTCCTTGCGCTTACGCAGCAGGCGGAGAAACCACTGAGCTAAATCCCTGGCCCCATAATATACATATTTCAAAACACCATGTTGTACATAATAATTATATGCAACTTTTGTCAATTAAAAAATTAAAAGGGCCAGGGACAGTGTTGCACACCTCTAATCCCTGCTGCTTGAGAGGCTGAAGTAAGAGGAGCACAAGTTTGAAGCCAGCCAGGGAAACTCAGACCCTCTTTTTCTTTCTCCCTCCTCCCTCCCTCCCTACACACACACAGATAAAAACATTTAAGCACACAGTCAGATGGAAAGGAAGCAAAGACTTTCTCCATTAAAACCAATGCTTCCCTCTTGAGCTAAAGCAAGTATGATTCATGCCCAGGAAGGGCCCATGATTCACCTAAAACCCTAAGTGATTAAAAAAAAAAAAAAAAGGCAGTTGTGTATGCCACACAGAATGGTCATAAGGGCTGCAGTAACATAACACAAGCAAATGTGGGTGTCCCTGACAAATGCACAGCTTTGTTCCTGTGACTGCTGATTGCTTAGGACACCTAGGACCCAAATGTGTCCCAGAGACTTTCCTCACACAGGCACAACAGGGTATGCCCTGAAAATGACAAGTCATGGCAAATGAAAGCTCTTCATGAGATCATACAACAGCTGCCATGATGACTTGACGTGATTCCTCATGATCTCTCATCTTTGGAACATCTCTGAAGATAATGACTCTCCCTTTAGGTGAGGAACTAGAAGATTTATGGAGTTAGCAAAAACCTTTCCCAGCATTCTGGGATGCTGAGGCAGGAAGATCACAATTTCAAGCCCAGTGTGAGCAACTTGGTGATTTAGAGAGCCTGCCTCACCAAAAAAAAAAAAAAAAGAAAAGAAAAGAAAAGAAAAAGAAAAATCTTTTTTAAAGGGCTGGAGATATAGCTCAGTGCAAAAGTCCTGGGTTGAATCCCCAGTACCAAAAAGAAAAAAAGTCTGTCCAAGCTGTTCAGCAAATAATTGGCAGAGTCAGACTCTGACACCAAACCCCATCAACTTTCGAACCCACGCACTAGAGTTTGAAATAGTAGGTGTGAATTACATGGGAAGAACAAACTTCAGATTCATAGACACAATACAAGAAGAGGCCAGAGGCCCAGCTGAAAGAGTAACTTACCAGCATATTTTGTAGTGTTAGATTCATCCATGGACCAAAAGCAATAATCGAATGCAAATACCTGAAAGAACAAAATGTTAAAAATTAACTCCATATGAGTGAAGCTGGTTGCAAAATAATAATAATTTACTGATGAAAATGAGACGGATGCCCACTACTATCTGATAGAGGGGGATTTGGGGCTTTTCTTAACTCTGAAGTTTCTTTTACACTAAATGTATGGCTGGCTACCTTCTTGTGGAGGAGCAGGTTGTGTAAGAAATTTAGTATTTATCCAGAATTCAAACGTCTAGGGAAGAAATCATAACCAGATTTCTTTTTTAACATTTATATTTAACAAGCGAGGAGAGAGAGGGAGAGAGGGAGAGAGGAGAGAGAACAATGACTTTCTCTCCCAAGTCTACAGTTCCCAGCATGCGATCTCCCACAGCGTCTCAAGTAACACTAAATGATAAACGTCTGCTTCTACCACTTCCTTCTCCTCGCTCCCCACCCTGTTCTTTCTAAAACAGCAAAGTGCAAAACTCCCCAAATTCCCAGTATTGCACTCCTTTCTCCTCCTGTACAACAATCTCCCGCTAAAACATCAATAATGCACTCTCCCATGTATTAACCTTCCACACAGCTACTAAACACCCACAAGAGACCAGGAATAATGGGCATTTTCTCCATATAAGGACTCCCATCTCACCGTGTTTCCACGCTATCACCAACACCTGTGTTCCAGCACTGTTCTCCAATGCACACACCAATGGTGCCCAAAGTGTCTTCCAAGAAACAGTTTTATGAGACAGTTCATAAACAAAAGATTAAATCAGGTTGGAATTGGTGCACAGGTCACCCTATTTGACCCTGTTGGTCACCCTGAATATTAAAAGCTCTGAAAACACTTCTAGTAAGGAACCCATTTAATTGGCTGTTATTTCCCCAATTAATTTTGGTGAGACACTTTTTGAGGGAACACCTATTAACATGCCTTAAAATTAGTATTTCTCAGGGCACTCCATAGCAAACTGGCCCAGATGGCTCAACAGTACCCACAATGGGCTCCCTGCTATATCTTGTACCACCCCACCACCCCACCACCACCCCCGCCAAAAAGGAACTGAATTCAGGGCATCTGCACTGAGCTACATCCCTGTATTTTCAGATTTTTTTTTTAATTTTTATTTTTTGAGACACAGTCTTGCTAAACCTCCCAAGCTTGACTCAAACTTGCAATCCTCCTGCCTCAACTTCCCAGAGTGCTGGGATCATGGACGCGTCCCACCTCCTCAAGTTCCCCGCGCCAGTGGAGCTTTCCTTACCTTGAGATTACTACGGACAATTCCACCCCATCCCTGTTTCTAATTTCCACCCTTCAAAACACTTCATACTCCTTAAGGTTCAGTTCAATATGTTATTTTCCCTCCAAGCATTTGTTGGTTGAATCAAAGGAATTATCTTTCCATTCTCTGAAATCTCACTTTTTTTGTTGTTGTTTTTTTTCGGTACTGGGGATCGAACTCGGGTCCTTGGCTTGCAAGGCAGGTGGTGGAACCACTGAACTAAATCCCTGGCCCTTCGCACATTGTTTTAGAGTCTTTTGTTACAGCTCTTATCCCCATTATTCGATTTTCCACTTATCATGAATGCGATCTCTGTGTATGTTTTATCTCCATTTGTGCACTAAGTTCCATGAGGACAGCAACCATATCATTTTCATCATTCAAGCCTGAACTGCTCATAATAGCTGCTTTAGAATTACTTCCTGAATGATGAATGGCACTGAGACTGCAAGGAAGCAGGTACTTTTTATATCATAAAAAACTAAGTTATACTCTCAAAAGTTTCACCACTACATATATTTTATTGCTTGAACCATTTATTGAGGTATATATGATGCATACAACTTACATCATCAAACCCAGACTCAAAGTCAATTTCGATATTTATACATTCACTCTGGCCTTACAACAACCAAGCTGCAAATCAACCGCTAGGAAACAGCAATTTCAGCCAGCGGAGTGTGGAATATTTACTGCATCCAAGGGCTCTTCCAATGACTCAACAGACCACACAGGCATAATCCAGTTAATCTTCCCGCCTTGAGGCTGGTCTGAGCTTCAAGCTTCTCCCAAGATCTGTCTTGTTTTTAAACATTTCCAGAAAAGGAGATTCCACAACCTCCCAAGAATGCTATCTTAGAACACTTCACTTTCATTCTCAGGACGTTTTCTTTCCCTATGGATCTAAGTCAACTCTCTTTGCTTTACTAATAGACACTGTTTTCCAATTTTTAAGGACTCTCAAAGAATTTCTTTTGTAATTACTATATAGAATGGAATAATCATTTCTTTTCTGTATGTAAAGTTTTCGTCTCTACCTAAAACTTTTTATTTATTTATTGGGGTGGTATGAGACAGAACCCAAGGTCTTTACACTGAGTTACAACCCAACCCCTCCTCCACTTTTTTTCTTTTTTTGGAGAGAGGGTCTTGCTAAGTCACTAAGGAAAAAAGGTCCCTGATGATACTAGAAGATACAACAGTTCTTTGCATGTCAGATATGACCCTCTTCCTTTCAACTGAGTTATGTCTAAATTTCAAAATCTTTGATCACAGACATTTTGGACTGGTGAGCATGCAAGGCAGTCATCCAATAAAGATTATTTTAGCAAGTATTTATTAGGAGGAAAGCTGAAGCCCAGAAATCTGAGTGCATCTCCTAAAACTCAAAGCAAGTGAATAAAAAAATTCTTATTTTTTTCTTTAATCTTCAGCAACAAGTGGTCTCCTAATCCATCTTCCTTATCTGAAACCACACAGGGCTTCACATCTCCCCAGGTGACACTACTACATGCACAATCCTGTTTTATGCTTCGCTCTTCTGCATGAGTCTCCATGGACCTCAAAATGTCTACTTTGGTACTGTCCAGGAGAGCTACTGTTCATAACATTTTTTCAATTAATAATGCAGAAAAGAGCATGCTACAGATATGAACATGCAGAAGTTCAAGCGCAGGATATATTTTTATCTGGTACCAGGCATCGAACTCAGGACCTTGCCCTTGCAAGGCAGGCATGGTGGCACTGAGCTAAATCCCCGGCTAGGATATACTTTTAGATGTTCCATTACTTTCAGATAGATGTATGTGTCAGGGGAACTTGCTTCCTTCAATGGCCAAAAATGGTTTTGACCACTAGATGAACATGGGGGTTCCCTTGGGTACCATCACCCCATAGTTCCTGTGGATAAAAAAGCATGGCCTAATCATGTACAGTTAGTAGTGTGCACAGAAAATAAGACAATTACTTGTTTATCACTAGAAAAATTGTTATTACTGACACTAGGGCAATTTCAAAGATGTTTGTCTCAGGTAGTCCAATCATTTCCTTACAATCTTGTCGGTCCTACAAATAAATTATACACAAACTATTATTCTTTTCCTGACCAAAATTTAATTATAATTGAGTAACAAAAGGATTGTTACATAAGGACACATGATTTTCTTAGGTTTTGTAATAGTTTTGATTTTCTGATACAAAATTCACTGACACTATTGAGAGATAAGACCATTTTCTTGAGTTATTCCTTGTAAGTTCATTACTTTGAAGGAAAAGAAAGTCATTTTTTTTCAAAGCTGGCATATATTAAAGAAATACATTATTTAGACTAATTCATTTCATTAGACTTCTAAATACAGATTTCATTAGTCATGAAATCACTAGTATCGTAACTCGAGAGTGGGAGATGGAATATTCTCGATGCATACAACTGAGCAAAAATAGATTAAAAACAACAAGTATAAATTTTATATTTCATCAATGCTGACCAAATTGTGAGAACATTTTTTTGTAAAGGCATTCGTATCTTTCCATCTAGAATGACAGCCAAAAGTACAGATGTTCTCTGATCATTCTTAAAATCTGAGAACTACTGTCTGCAGTGTTTACAACAAAATCCAACTCCTCCTCAGAATCCCACTCCTTCCTCTTGTAAAACTCATTCCAGCATTTGATTCCCTGCAGTTTGGTGCCCATCTGCTCCACCTTCACCAGTCTCTTTTTGCGAACCACTGAACATCTAGTAAAGGTGCTAAAGCTGTTTTTAATATGACAAGCGTGTTGAGTGATGTCTAGCCTGAGCTAATGGAGTTCCAAGAATCATGAGCAGGATGCGGCATAAACTCCACTCATTTAAAAGTGCCATCTCTGATGGCAATTTCAGCAAAATTCAATGTACAGGTTTTAAAAATGAAAGAAAGAAGAATCTTCTTAGTATTTTTAATTCCATACCTGACTGACCAGATTTTGTATGCATGTATGTATGTATACACACAGATCTATTTATACATGATTTCCTTGTTCTGCCACAGTATTAACTCCTAGAAGACAAGGCCTCAGTTTTCCTAATGTTTCACAATTTCACTACACAAAGATACTCAGGATTTACATTTTGGAGCAACTTCTGGTGAATGACCTCATAATTAAAGAATCTCATAAATTTGTATTTTCACATATGACCACTGCTTAAAATAACAGAGACCAATGTGATGACTGATTAATCTTGTTGCTGCAACTGACTCAAGAGACCCTTAGGGCATTACTAAAGCACACTTCTGGGTGTGTCTAGGAGGGTCACGAGCAGGACCTTGGGGTCTGGCCCCTTCCTCTCTAATTCTCTTCCCGTCTCTCTGCTTCTTGGCTGCCATGAGGTGAGCAGCTTTCTTCTGCCATGTTGTTTCGGTCTTGGAGTCAATTGACCATGGACTGAAACCTCTGAAACCTGGAGCCAAAATAAACCTTTTCTCCTTTAAATTGTGCATGTCAGGTATTTTGTTTCAGCAGCCAAAGGAGTCCAATACAGACCAGTGAGTGCAAACACTCAGCAGCCTGGCAGTACAGCAGATGTCACAACAGGACTTTGGTGAAGCCTCCATTTTTACTTCCATTGCAGGAGTGACAATAGTGGTGTCACCCTAAGAGGCTGTGTGTATACTGGGCTTTCCCTCTTTTTTCAAAAAGACAGGAGCAGGCTCCACTACCTGACTGTATGTTAGGTCAGAGGCTCCACCAATGACCAAGGAATCATCTGGGAGAACAGTGTGGAGTCTGGGAAAAAAGCAGAGCCTATAGAACCGTAAGAAAAGCCCCTCTTCTGTGATTCCCTCTTTCCTAGCCTCATCTTCCGGCCCAGTGAGCCAAAACTCATTCATTGCCAAATGTTACCTCCTCCAAAGCTTCCTTGATTTCCACTCTATAATTTTTCCCTTCTCTATCAACAGCTCCACCTCTCCAATAAACATTCATCTACCTAAGTGCACTTTACATTAAGTTGGGAACTTAAGCAGAATGCCCACTAGTATAATGCTTGGCACATAGGGTAACTCAGTCTATGGCAGCTACTGTTACCAGTATTAACGGTGGCTACCGATGGGCACTGTCCCATTAGGACGGCTACCACTTACAGAGGGTTTACTATGTATAGACACCAACCTAAGTCTTTTACATTCTTAACCAGCTGGGAGGTTTCCTATGCCTACAATTCTGCTCACTCATTTTTTTATACCTTACAGGTATAGGACACTGGGCATAGGTCATCAGTATTTGCTGATTAAATAGAGGAAAAAATGAAAAGGCGAAAAAAAAAAAGCGTTCATGAGTAGAAGAGTTGCTACAGACTGTTTAGTTTTTTGTCCAGAATATCAATGTACAACACACAACTTCCTAGCTCTCAAATCCAAAATCAAAAGAGCTTCCCCTGGGGGAGAAAGTGTGCTCTATATGGGCTTGCTCTGCTTTGTATGAAGGAGTGTGCCTCACTCCTCTATGCTGTCTTCCTCCTCTCGTCCAACAATCAATCCACTGTTCACACCTGCAGACCCAGCTGCCATTAACGGCCTGTTCTGCCACTAACTATCTACTCTGAAAACTGCTTGAGATCTCTGCAAACCCCAGTCCTTCTAGTTTGAGGAACAGTGGTGTGCCACTGTCACGTTTTATAGTTACTTTTCCACTTTGCCAATTTGCAAGACTACAATTTACATGAAAAACACGTTTCACATTTGTTCACATTTCACCACACCCTGTTGAGAAGCGAGTCAGACCAAAAGATGATGAAAGTACTATCGTTCGTGTTGAAATTCTCCTGTTCAAGAAAACTTTTAACACTTTTCTCTTTTTCATCTCTTCTAATAATCAGATGTGGGGGCCGGGGATTTAGCTCAGTGGTTCCAGCTCCTGCCTCGAAAGCACAAGGTCCCAAGTTCGATCCCCGGTACCAAAAAAAAAAAAAAAAAACAACCAAACAAAAAAAACTGCTTTACTCATATCAGATATGAAGAATCACTACAAAAGGAAAGGTTAAACTTCACTCATCTTGGAAAAGCTGACCTGAAACTGCAAGCAAAGTCCAGCCCTGCAAACCTGCCCAACCATGGCACTGTCTTCGCCACCACTGTTTGCAAAAGTCGCTTGGCCAGCACAAACTCCAGCCTGTATTTGAACATACCTGTCACAGGCTACAAAGCAGGAATGTCAGAGCCATCAACATATAACTGGTCGGTTCTATTAACAGACTGACCTTCCTATTTTAAAATCTGTCAAGTCAGTACTGTCTTTTTGCAATGTAATTAATCATTTCCTTTACATATACTGATTTCTACACACCAAACAATGTCTTGGGTTACACAGTTAATACTGCCTGACTATGAGGATGTCAAAGCAGCTCAGAGATTCAAAGCAAGCCAACAGCATCTGCTGCACTTCTACACGATACTAGGCATTGTCCCTGGTTCTGGGGTATTTACGATGGGTTACAGGAGGCAATTGTAAGATGTGATAAAAAAAAAAGGGTGTCTAAGTTTTTAAAAAAATGATTATAGTAAAAGATACATTGCCATTAATCCCCTTCAAAATACTTCTCTTCACTTTGAACACACTGAGCCTGCCATTTTGCCACGTTTGTTATGGAAATCATGGACTTTTATGTCTTTATTGGCACTGTTGTGGCTTCCTTGATGTCCTGAATCAATTCAAAATATCTACCTTTCATGGTCATTTTGAATTTTTAAAACATTTAAAAAACTTTTAATAAAAACTTTTTTATTAGTATGTGTTTATAGTACATAATGTTTACATTTCTTGTGGGGAGTTGGTACATGTACACGACACATCTTAATTCTTTTTTTCTTTTTTTTCTTTTGGGAAAGAGTCAGAAGTTCCATGGTGCCAGATCCAGAGGACCTGGTAATAATGTTTGTGCGCCTGCCTTTCCATTGGCTGGCACTCTGCAGCATCATTCACCGTATTTTTGACCACACCTTGTAAAGACATGAAACAAGACTTCCAGACCTGCTTCAGGAAATGGCAAGAATGATGGGATAAATATGTTCCAAGTGAAGGGGAGTACTTTGAGAAGGATTAGTGGCAACGCATCTTTTACTGAAATACCTTTAAAAACGTAAACACTCACTGCATTTTTAGGTCACCCCTTGTATCTGTGCAAAGCACTACTTTGAACTGCAGTTCCAAGTTCTAAGAGCATAGAGAAAGTGTCTCCCCAAAGAACTTGTTCATGCATGCATTCATTTAAAGAATAAATTTGAAAACCGGAACTTGTTCTTTCGAATCCCAGACCAATTTTATAACAGTGCTGAGCTTCCATTTACCACTGCACATGCAAACTAGTTGTGCATAAGCAATGAAGCACTAACTCAATTTCAACTCTGTCAAATACTCACTTCATGTTTAATCCTTTATCATTCATTTCTACATCTGCTTCACTGGTTGCTGCGGAGTGGGGTAGGGATGTTGCAAATGCACAATGTGTGGTATTTCTGGTTCTTTCATGTCCTGATTACTTCTCAAAAAACCTAGCCACTCAATCTCTCCAACAACACATTTAAAAGGTAATGTGGAGATTTCCAAGCACAGAATATTCCTTCTTTAACACACACACCCAAAAGTTGCAAATATCTAAGCATGCGCTTTATGATCCTGTCCACTATGTCTGATAAATGATTCCTGTTGCTCATTACAAAAGAAAAAAGACTAAAACTCAGTCATCCTGATATCACCTACCACCCGCAATAGACGTCTGGTTCAGAACATCTAGACAAAGATGTGCCTTGCCACTCTCTGCTGGGCCAAGCCCAGTCCTTCCAGCCAGAGAGGAGCAGGCTGGGCTGACTCTAAGGTCTCAGGTCCCCAGGGCATAAAGAACCTGAGGGAGCCCAGGGGCTGTAAATATTTATTCAAAGTTAGCTCAGCTCACAATAGAAGGGGCTGACAGAATTCCCTCTGTGGGGATGACCGAGGTACTGTGGGACTCCAGACTCTTTCTGGTCCAAGAGGCTGTCACTGTTCTGGACAGGGAGGTGGATCAATGCTGAGACAAGGGAGGTGGAGATCTTTTTTCCTGTGCCCTGTAATCCACACAACCTGCCACCCTGCCAGCTGCATCTACAAACATCCACAGGCATGGAATTATTAGTGGGAACATCTGGCTCTGAACAAAGCCAGGTAGAAGGAAAGGGGATAGAAGTAGAGTCTACAGAAATTTCAGAACAGAAACACAGTGTGCTATGTTTCTGAGATTTCATTTTTTTTTTATTAAAACAATGGAAAAAAATTTAAAATGTAGTGTAGAACAATGAAGTGTGGTAGATTGTATGACTGTTTGCTGCCCTCTCTCTGTAAGAGGATTACGTGTTCCTACCTACTGCCATGTGACTTGCAGTACCTGGAGTAGGAGAAATATAATTCCTGACCCTTCTGATATCAGGCTCAGTCACGTGACTTGCTCTGGCTAATTGAATGCAAACAAAAAAACAATGCCAGGTCAGAGCAACAGCTTTATCGTAGGCTATGGCAGGTTCTTTCTATTTCCCCCCTCTGCCTCAGAATTAGCAGTAAAGTCCCAGATAGGGGCTGTTCCTTCAGACTGGAGGCCAGATCAAAGCCACAGGGTACAGAGCTGACATCTGAGAACATTAGTAACATCAGAGAAATAAATCTTTGCTGTCTGAAGCCGCTGAATGTTTAAGGTTGTTACTACTGCATTGCCTAACACAAGCAGACTAATCCAAAGCAGTTACTATTAGAGGAAACCAGATTATTATCTACCCTACCTACTCTTTTCACCAATTTTCCCTGCATCCTATAGCCAGATGAATTTCTCGCATGCATGCTCCTGAGCATGCAACTTTTCTACACCAAAATCCTAAGGAATCTTCATAGCCTCAGATTTAGGCCTGACTCTGAAACCCTCTAAAAGCTACATACTTTTCCAGTGTTTAATACACGACTTTTCCTTTCACGTTCCCCGCACTCTCACCAGAGTGGGCAGCTCATCACTTGCTAACATACCGATACTTCTTGGTTCTGTCCCTTACATACATTTTGATTCCTGGGCTAAATTTCCACCCTTGGAACCCTTACCTTCACTTGGAAAGCCCTGAAGCTCTGGTTAACTATGAAGCTGTTCTTCCCAGGAAGTTACAGAGGGCAGCAGGAGTGACTGATATTTATCATAATCCATCTTCCATTCCTTAGAATACCCCACATGTTTTACCAACCTCATCATTTTAGAATTCTAGAGGGCAGAAACCACTAGTTTAATCACCCATGAAGCCCCTCACACTACTCAAACACTATTTTTCACAAAAATTTCTCACTTAATGTTTGCCTAGTGATTTCTGAATGGATAAGTAAAAACAACTCCTAGGCAGATGCAGATCAGGAAGGTTGTGCTGTCACTGGGTTCATGCAGCTGCAGCACTCCTGGACCCAGATATAGGGCAGAAGTGCAAAGGAAGACAGTAGGGCTACTGTATTTAACTGGGAAGGAAACACACAGAAGCCTAGGAGCCTTGTACATGCTAGGCAAGCGCACTACCACTGAGCTATACACCTAGCCCCACGTATGCAGTTTAAAATGTTTCCAGACACATTAAAAAGTAAAAAAAGAGATAAAATAATTTTAATAACGCACTGTATTTAACCCAATATATCCAAAATATTTCTCTTGCATACTTTGTCCCCCCTGAATTATGTTTTAGAAATCGAATGTGTATTTCACACTTAATCTCAACTCATATCAGCCATGTTTTGCATGCTCAAGAACCACATGTGGTTAAATGGCAACTGTATTTAACAGTGCTGGTCTATAATTTGTCTCCTTTGAGACCCAATGCTTTCTTTTCACAAATTCACAGCAGCAAAACAGAGGCAACAGAAAATGAAGGGAGTCACAGGTTGTAAAACCACACTGAATAAAACCACATCTCAGATGGCAAAGATGTACCTAAGTTTCCTCTCCTCCTTTCTGAGCAATTTTTTAAAGTTAGGTTTTTGGTATATATCAATCTACTTTTTTAAGGAATATGGTCTTCAAGAAGTAGCAGCTTGGGTGGGGGTGTAGCTGAGTGGTAGAGTACTTGTCTGCCATTTGCAAGGGCTTGGGTTTGATTCCTAGCAGCAGCACAGGAAGAAAGAATTTTTTTTTTCTTTTGCTGTAATGCTGTCAATTTCTTCAGCGCATAATTTTTGTCAACAAGTTTATATACACAGAAGTGGGACCAAATACCTTGAGGTTCAATTTAATTCACAGGATCAAATTATTCAAATAAATCATAAACTAAATTGTAAGGCATTAAATACAATCATAAGTTTAAAACAAGCAAATTGAGTAAAAGAAGATATGATCCTAAACAAAATGATTTTCCTTCTCTTTTCCCCTAAACTTGCCTTATAAAGCCCAACCAACAGAATAATCCCTTTTCTTCTTCTTCATTATTTATTATCAAAATCCAAAGTTTATCAGAAGGCAGGTAAACTAACAAGCAATTTACCCTTTAACCTGTCTGCAATCTGTCTAAAACAGAAACCTTGCCCTGAAAACTACATTCACACTGAGAAGGAAAGACATCTCAATTCTGACAACCCTATGATAAAGGCTCTTTTTTTTTTTTTTAAACTACATAAGAAGTACAAAGCCAGGGTCTCCATGTTCGTCCAAAATCCTATTTTTCTGCATTAGAGAAACAGAACTTGTTGCTATAAATACTGTATAATACAAAACTGGTGAAAGTATTAAAAGGTATGCACATAGTTCATGGCAGTGATGGCAAACCTTTTAGAGCTTTCAATGATGCAAATAACCCAATGATTCAATGATACAAATACTTGGGGGTAAATATAAATATCTGCATGTGTGCCATAGGTTCGTCACCACTGGTCTATGCTGAAATAAAAGGAACACAACTTTGTAAAATATGGCACTTATCAAAAAGAAAAGTCCAAAGATATGGCACAAAGCAATCCATACAGATATAAATTTGTATAAATTTCCCTTTCTATTCTATTATGCCCCATTACACATACCATATAAAATATTTGAAAATAACATTTAAATAAGGTCAATCAGAAGAACATCTTCATTATCTCCTTGCCCTAATAAAACACTTAGAAAAAAATAAATTTTAGAAACCAAAGAAACCCAACCCAGTTTGGAGGGAAGTATAGGAATTCTCAACTCTACCACCGGCAGCAGCATCATTTCTGAGAGCCTGGGTTCTCACCAAATCGGCTTCTTCCTCCTCTCCACTGCCCCAAGCAGAGGAGTCCCGAGGTGTCAGCCATATCTCCTAGTCCACTTACTTCTTCCTCCTTGACAAATCCTTCCCTTCCTCCTAGTCAGCACTCCTATCCGACACATTTCTCATACACAATCCTTACCGATAACAGAAACTGTAGTACAGCTCAGTGATTTTTATAATAATTATTTACCATTATTGCATAATTAGACATAACTTCACCACTGCCCAAACACAGACTATGTGGATAAAGATAGAGTAATGACAAGAGAATCTAAGTTGGTGCTGAGGCCTGCAATGCCCAGAGGGCACTTTCCTGTCCAATCAGGCCAGGGTGACCTGTGCAGAAGGGATCCTTGGAAAAGGGCCACCCAGGCACTTGGGTCTTCCTGAGAATAGAGTCACAGCAGCACGTTTCCTCTGGCTTAGTGTCTGCCAAAGTGGCTCTGTCCATTGTTGAGGGTGACCAACAATTATCCAAACTAGAATCTTCTTTCTACTCAACTGTGAGTGTCCTCCTGTTCCAGCCAGTCCGTGTTCTCCTCGCCCTGGCTCTCCTCTTCTCTCCTCTTCTCACTTTTTCAGGAGTCATTGTGCAGCACTGTCTTTGGTGACTTTTAATATCTGTATAGTTTTGCCTTTTCCAGAGTATCATATAGATTTATACAATATGTAGCCTTTTCAAGATTGGTTTCTTTCACTTAGGAACATGCATTTAAGGTTTTTCTACATCTTTCACAGAAGGATAACACAATTCTCTCTTAGCACTCAGTAATATTCGACTGCATGAATATACTGGAGTTTGTTTAATCGACCAAAGGACATCTTAGTTGCATCCAGTTCTTGGCGATCATGAATGAAGCTGCTGTAAACATTTCTGTGCAGGATTCTGAGCAGATGTAAGTTTTCAACTCATATGAATACTCCAAAACATGATTGCTGGACTGTATGATAAGAATATAGGTAATTTTGTGAGAAACAGGAGTCTACCTTCTCGAATGGCTGCACCATTCATCATTTCCACTAGCAAAGACAAAGCTCCTATTGCTCAGCGTCTTTACCAGCTTTGGTGTTGTAAGATTTTGGAGTTTCAGTCATTCTAACAGGTAGTAGTATTCATTATTGTTTTAATGTGCAATGCTGACGTGACATTGACCATTTTATGTACTTACTTGCCTTCTTATACTTCCACTGGTAAGATATCTATTCAGAACTTTTCATTTTTTAATTATTTGTTTTCTTACCACTGAGTGTTAAGACTTCTTTTTATATTTTGGGTAACATTCTTTATCAGGTTTTAAAAATATTTTATCCCAGTCTGTAGTTTGTCTTTATACTCTCGTAACTTTGTCTTTGGCAAAGAGAAGTTTTTAGTTTTAATGAAGTTCCATTTATCAATTTTTTTCTTTCATTGAGCATGCATTTGGCATTGTTGTCTAAAAGGTCACCCCCAAACCCAGGGGCACCTAGATTTTCTCCTATATAATCCAGAGGTGCTACAGTTTTGTGTTTTATGTTTAGGTCGACTATCCATTTTGAGTTAATTTTTATAGAAGATGTCAGGTCTCTGTTTTTCATTTTGTTTTTTGTTTGTAAATGTGGATGTCCACTTACTGCAATGCCATTTGTCTCTTTTATATTTCATTTCAACATTTTCTGCTAATTTATCTTCCAGTTATTTAATTTTCTTCAGTTGCATCCATTCTGTTGGTAAATCTTAACTTCTTGACTTGGGTTTTGGTTTTGGGTTTCTCAGACTGCAATTTCTATTGAGTTATTTTTTACATCTGTTTTGCTACTTTTTATAATTTCCAATCTAACATTTCTCAATCTAGTGTTTTATCTCCTTAAACACAACAAGTATATTTATTTTAAAGTTTATATTAACAACCTAATCTCTAGAGACATTAGGTTAACCTCTCTAAATGTTCACCTCCTTTGTATCTATGATGGAGTACTACTCAGCCTTAAAAAGGACAAGTTTGAGTCATTTATAGGGAAACAGATGCATGTTGAGAATGTTATACTAAGTGAAATAATCAGACACAGGTTAAATATCACACACTTTCTGTTACATGACAAATCCAAGTATAAATAATTTAAAGAGCAAAATAAAAGACAGATGATAGGAAACAGGTAGATCTTTTGGAGATGGGAAAGGGATCTAGGATGGAAGGAGAAAGAAAAGACAGGAGGGGAAAGGGAAATAATAATAAGATGTGATATGTGCCACCACATCCAGCTAAAACCTACTTGCTTTCTATCTACTGATTATTTTGGTCATTTTGTTTTGTTTTGTTTTGTTTTTTTGTTTTTGGTATCGGGGAATTGAACTCGGGACCTTGCGCTTGCGCGGCAGGCGCCGGAACCACTGAGCTAAATCCCCGGCCCAAGATGTGATATATGTATGTACCAACTTCTCATGGTGAATGTATTCATTATGTGCTACAAACATTTACTAGTAAAAAACTTTTTAAAGTTTGTATCTAATAATTTGAACAGCTGTAAAACATTTGAACTCGATTTTTTATTATTTTTGCTGGTGCTTCTTCATCCCACATAGCTTGTTCTGTACCCTCTTTATCTCTGTGTGCTGGACATTGTTTTCCGTTTTTCTGCAGTGCAGGGGATTGAACCCAGGGCCTAGTGCACCTTAGGTTAAATGCTTTCTTTACCACTGAGCTACACTCCTAGCCCCGGACACTGTATTTTTAAAAGGTTTGTGGAATCTTTAAAGTCTTAGGATTTTATTTGCTTCTGCCAGGTGCTCATGGGAATCTGTATTCCAGTATCACTTTGACCCAATTTTGGTACTTAAGGCTTCCTGGATGCACAAATGTCTTGTAACCCCCAGCAATCTGTGAGGGCTGGTTTCCTTTTGTTTCCCTTTCACACCCCACCCAAAACTGGGTGCCAATCTACTCTGCCAATTCAAAGTACAAGGAGATTACCAAGGACTCCACCTTTTGCAGGACATAAACTTCAACACCATTCTTCCCTAGGTACCAAAAGCTCTCAGCAACATTGCTTTGCCTTTACCCTGTTTATTCCCAAATGGCATACTCTAAAACAGTAGGTTATCTTCTCTAAATGTTCACTTCCTTTTCAATCTTGTTCTAGCAAATGCTCACCAAACTTGGTATATCTCCAGTGCCTCAAAGCACATATCTTATTAATTTGCCTGGTCCTACCTGTCCTTTGTGGGAAAGGTGACACTGATTACCTAATTTGTCATTACTGACCGCAGAAATCAGAAAAGGAACTTCCATCCCATACATTTCACATATGTTTTACCTCTGTGGTCTTTAACATGACTGGTTTCACATTATATTGTGCCTGTATTCCCCAGCCCACCCCATCAGAATGCTAGGACTAGGTCTAATTCATGTAGCATCTGTCTCCTCCCTGAAAGAATCATTTGTTAAATTCAATCACAATGCCTCCTGTGATGCTTTTGTATGAACAAAGAAAAACCGTTTATGAGTTGAGATCCTGTTATGGTTGCCCAAGATGGTCTTAAACTAGGCTCAAGTGATCCCAAAATGCTGGGACTACAGACACATGCTGCAGCACCCTGCTAAAAAATTCACTCTTTCATAATCATTAAAAGTATCTTTTCTTATTCTACTGTTTTTAATATTTACAGTTTCTACAAGAAAAGTCCTGTACCTACTTGTGTCTTTTTAAATCTTACTTTCTATTTATATTACTTATTTAAATTCAAGATGATCTTTATTTTTTCCAGATGTCCCTTAAAATGTGTACATTATATATACATAAAATGTATATTATGTTAAATATTTAAGAAATATATTTTAACATGATGATTTAATAGTAATTTTATTTTGAAAATTTCATACTTCTTAGGCATTATCAACAGGATACTTAGCAAAACCAAGGCCATACATTCAGGCTAGAAAGTAACTAGTACGTTCCTGTGTACAACATAATAGTGATTGTTTAAATTGTTTTTGTGCTCCTTTTCAATTTCAGTGCTTTCTTTCACTAAGAAGCCACCTGTGAATTGTTCAGTATTTCACCGCCTTTTTCTATAGGGAAAGAAGTAAATATACCACAAAACTGACAGTATGTTTAGAGACTTCTGGGACCCTGCAGCAAGAGAGAGAAGGGCTACATAAAGGACACGCAGATCTTCCAGTAGTACAGAAATTTTCTAGTTTACAAATTTGGGGATAATATCCATAGAAACAATAATGTGATTTCCTAGATTTTTCCAGAATGTCTTTCACAGCTTGTACTTCTATAGTATTAACACATTTCTTTTTGCTTAATACATCTCATATTATTTGTTTAAGGAATGCCCTCCTTGCTGGAGTTGCAATTCTTAGTGCTAGAGATAATACCTACAATGCCTTTGATAGCTACAAAGCACAAAATGGCACTTATGTGGGTTTCCAAAATCCAAGAACTAAGTTAGATTTTTCTGTATAACCCTAGAGAAAAGTAAGCCTTGTCTATGCCATTCCATAGGTTTACCCAACTTGTCTTAGATTCTGATTGGATAATATGGCACAGGCATGTATAACCTGTCCCAATCCCACCTTAGGAGCCATGGCTATAATTAGAATCACTGGCCAAGGCGTGGCCAAGTTTCTTATTATTTTTGATATTAAGCATCCCTTACTTTACCGATAAAATGTTCACTGGTAACAAAATCAATCTTCAATCAGTCAGGGCCTGGTGGTTACCCAGGTCCCTTACTTCTCACACACCGCCCCCCATCTATTCTCTACCTTTTGGGCTTCCCCAGTGGTAAACACACCATCTAAAGTTAGCCCGAGCAGTAAAGGGACAATTCCAACTAATAGACATTGTGATTGGCTAGGAACTCTGACGGAACATACAGAATTGGTGGAAAGTGGGATCACTATCTAAAAGTGTAAAAAAACTTTCCAAAGATACTAAGTCTTCTTAACAGTCATGGAGAAAGACAGTTTGTACAATCTATAATCACAGTTGCCACACTCAATCTGAGATGTCAGGTGGTGTCCTCCTGCTTTCTAGGGTGGTCATAGCCCACTCACTCAGTCTGAGAGCTAATGCTCTTTGTCTTGCTGCATACCTCCTCTCGTTACCAACAAAGTAGAAACAATCACTTGACTGTGTCTGAGGATGAGTGCATGCATTCCAAGAATGAAATAATATGTGAAAGTGCTTTGTAAATACAGAGTGACACTCTAATTTTATATTATTAGTAACATGAATTATTTGTTTGTGGTTTGAGTTTTAAATTAGAATGCCAATTTTCTCCCTAAGAGGACAGGCATTATGCATGGGTTTTGGAATGAGTTAGAATCTTTGATTTCTACATAGCATACATGCCTACTTCCATGTCAGTGCTTACCTTGGGGGGTTTCCTGATGATGGAAAAAAAAAAAGTTCAGCAGCAGACACAGGTGGTCAACACAGCAGCCACATCAGAAGGAAACAATGAAAGAGAAAAAACAAGGTAAATTTAGCACCTTGGAAACACATCTGAAAGATAACTCTACTTCACAATGATCAAAAGCAAAATTCAGACATATTGGCAGAAGTGAGCGACTCTCATATTTGTTCAAAAATGTAGTCTACACATAATAAACTTCTTCTATCCTGGTTTAACACCTTCACGATGGGGCAATAATTCATGTTTCACTGCTGGGTGGCTTTGAACCACCTCGGTACATGCATGACTTTCTTATTGGGTAGCATGGGACAGTCCTACTGGGTGGTACAAGACATATTAATAGAGAGAACATTTTAATAGAGTGAATCTAGTTATTCAGAGGTTTTTAATGATTCTAAAAAATACCATGGAAGAGCATGAAGATAAAGAAATCATAGTCATTACTGCACATGATCAAATATTTTAAAATCAATTTTCACATTTAAATTTTCCTAAATCAGTGATGAAAAATATATGCATATTTTCTTTTAACAAATATATCAAATATTGCTTTTGATAAATATATATACCCTAATATACATGAGAATTTTTCTCTTTTATAAAGCATGGTTCTAGATGATAATTTTCACCTATTTAAATCCTAGACTTTCCTTCCTCTACCACCAAGCATATATGCACTTTTAATATACTGTTCATATTTGCAAGTTAATAACTCAGAAATGACTGAAATTGCATCCAAGGAAAACTCTCAAAAGGAAAAGTCTTCAAAGTAATAAAATATTATATTGACTTGCTTTGTAAATATTTCCTTCATGTACAAAATTCAGAAGTTGAATTTTGACTTCTAAGGTAAATGATCTCATGACAGTTTTTGGCTTTCCTGATGTAGTCATTCTTTTTTTTTTTGGTACCAGGGAATCGAACTCGGGTCATTGTGCTTGCACAGCAGGCAGCAAAATCACTGAGCTAAATCCCCAGCCCCATCATTCTTGACCAACTGCTGATACTATCAATTCATAAACTGTAGAATTACTGTCAATGAGAAATGAAGAATTTTCCCCGTGGCTTTTATCTGTCTTCACAGGGAACAGAAATGTGGGGAAAACATGATTTTCCAGGACAGAAGGCATGGGAATCAACAGGCAGAGTCAAAAATAGCCCAATGTTTTATCCATCATTGGATTCAACAATCTTCACAGAGCTCTGGAAGGAGCTAAACAAAATCCAGAGCTTAGTAGTAGGGAAAGAACATCCACTGATTTCACAGTCAGGTGGATAATTCTATACTTTCAAATGCAAGCAAAGAAAATCATGAAATTCCTGTAACGGTGAAGCTGAAACATCATATTCTTGGAATTCCATGAATTAGCTAAAAGGAAATGAGCCTTTATGGCTATGTCATTACCTCAGATGGGGGCAAAATGGGAATGTAATTTTTGTCATCTGGTTTTTGTATAAAATAACTGGTATTTCTGGCTATCATCAGGCAAGTCTCAATATACCAGTGTGCCTATCCATTAAAACAAGACAGACACTTATAGATGTTATAATAAAAGTGTACAAGTGTTTTTAATTCTAAGAAAGTCGTAGATTCCCATTCTCTACACAAAGCTTGAGGTTTGTGCCAAGAAATCTTCCTTGAGTGGAGCACCACTCTGGAAGTTATCTGTTCTGAGCAGGTAGAACAATAATGAAAACTTTATGCACTACACTTTTCACTAAGGTTTCTCTTACTCTGTTTGCTCTTTTTAAAGCCATTTAAATTACTGCTTTATTTAACAAAGGAAAGAGTCAATTGGATTAGAAAAAGGCAATTATATGAAACAGCATGCTCCATGTTAATAAAATACAGTCATCCCTGGGTATCCGTAGGGGACTGATACTAAAATTCATGGATGCTCAAGTCCTTTATATAAGATGGTGTAGTTTTTGCATATGACCTATGAACATTCTCTTGTACACTTACAATCATCTCCAGATTACCTAATGCAATGTAAATGCGATGTAAATAGCTATGTTTTATTGTTTGGAGAATAATGACCAGGGAGGAAATTATGTATATATTGAGTACAGGCACATTTTGGATCTGCAATTGGTTGAATGAAGATATGCAACCCACAGATATAAGAGTCAACCATATACTTTCCCATCTAAGCTATGTTAAACCAAGTGACCCAACTGGGGTGCGACCGATAACGAGAATGTCAGGGACCTCCCCAGAGTTAGCAATAGCATCCTTCACACCAGAGCCATACAATACTAACCACCAGCAGCAAAGGTCTAATGCTGGTCTGTAGCCAGTGGTATGCATACCACCTTAGGTGTCTAATAATCAACTTATTCTTTCTTCATTGACATCCATTCCAGTAAAGATTGTTTTTCATTCTTTTTAGAAAACCAATCCTACTTCAGACTCGTAAGTACTTTAAAAGTATATTCTTTTTCCTTAGGAAAGACAGCATATTATATGGGGTACCAATATAATCCTGCTACCTCCTTCTGTGTTTTGACTAAGGACAGATGAATGGAGGACATAGCAGGGAAAAGGGAAGCCACTAAACCTATTTGCTGCTACCCAAATTATTCCTCATTCTATGAAGAACCAGGATCCTTGCTTTAGAAGAAAAAGACATTTAGCACATCACAGCTACACTTTATTAAATGCCAAACCTTTCTTGAGGTTTTAGGTGATGGGCAGCTAAATTACCCTAAGCCAGTACTATAGTTTACTGCCCAAATCCCCATAGGCTGTATGTCATTCTTTGGTAGTTGTGAAGAAAATTATTTTCTTTTTTTTTTTTGGTACCGGGGCTCGAACTCGGGTCCTTGCGCTTGCAAGGCAGGCGGCAGAGCCACTGAGCTAAATCCCCGGCCCAGAAAATTATTTTCTAATGTGAGTAAGTAATTGTGATAGTATAATCAGATATAGTATGTTATCCTTTGGGGGAAAACTCATATGATATTATAATATAAAAATAAAAGATTTCAGGCCCAGGGATTTAGCTCAGTGGTTTTGCCACCTGCTGCACAAGCACAAGAACCCGAGTTTGATTCCTGGTATCAAAACAAAACAAATAAATAAAATAAAATAAAATAAAATAAAAGATTTCATACATATATCCAAATAAACATAAAGATAACTTGGAGGCTAGCAGGCTGAGATGGCCCCAGTACTCTAGGCTTCTACATACACAAAAGGAAGCAAACGCAGGCTAATAGCATCAGCTACTCTATCAGGGACTTCCCACCAGGGCAGTTCAAATATGGCAGCTGCTCAAACTTCAACCAATGAAATCACTTTTCTGTTCTGCCTCTAAGCCCATTCTGTAAAGACTTTCCCTTCACATTTCTTTGGTGGAGCCTGAACCATTTCCAATTTGGAGCTACTGGATTCATGAATCACTCTCTGCATGAATCAACTTTTAAACTTTTAATATGCCAAAGTTTATCTTTCAATAACATGGAAAAGGATTAATATGGATGAATAATATGAACATCTATCAGATTCAATACAACTAACATTAAATACAGTCATGTACCACATAATGGCATTTAGGTCAATAACAGACCTCACAGATGATACAGGTCTCATAAGATTGTATCACCTACTGACAGTTATTGCTGGAGTTTATGCAGGTACAATCTACAATCTATTGTTCAAACAATGGCATAACCCAATCATGCATCTCTCAGATTGACAAATATCTCAGAACATATTTCTGTTGTTAAGCAATGCATGCTTCTGTGGCCCTTTGTTGACCACATCAGTCAAAGCCATGTCCCTATCGTTGAGACACCTGCATGGCTCCTATTATAGAGAGAAGCAACATTTTTGCTAAGCAAATATCTAGTGAACTAAAAGAAGGAACAAGCATCCTTCAAATAGCCCTCACAGACTCCAAGACACAGGCCCAGTGACTCCTTAGAAAACAGAGCATTTGCAAATCAAAACAATGCTGAGATTCCATCTCACTCCAGAAAGAATGGATGCTATGAAGAAATCAACCAATAACAAATGCTAGAGGAGCCTTGGGGAGAAAGGAACACTTTTTCACTGTTGGTGCGAGTGTAGACTGGTGCAACCACTGTGGAAATCAGTGTGGAGATTCCTCAAAAAACTAGGATTAGAGGTCCCATTTGAACCAGCTATTCCCCTGGTGGGTATTTTCCCAAAAGAATTAAAAGAATCATACCACAGTGATATATGTGCACCCATGTTCATAGCAGCACAGTTTGTAATAGCTAAAGCTTGGAAACAGTCCAAATGCCCATCAACTGGTGACTGGATAAAGAAGATGTTGTTTTTTTTTTTATAAAATGGAGTACTACTCAGCCATAAAGAATGGGAAACTAGAGACATTTATAGCTAAATGGATACATACTGAGGCCATACTCCTAAGTGAAATAAATAGGACACACATGTATAAGTACCAAATAGCTTCTCTGGTGAGAAACTGAAGAGGACCAAAATGTATACTAGATAATGTGAAATAGGAAGAAAAGGTCCAAAGGGGAAGGGGAAGTGGTGAGGTGGGGATATGAGAAAAGGAAAAAACAGAAACAAAGTCTTTGTAAATAGGGAGGAGTGAGGGGGTGAAGAGAGGGCAGGGGAATGGGGGAAAAAAATAAGAACCAAGATACTCATGTAAAGGTACAAATTCCCAATGGTGAATGTCATCATACCATATACCTAAAATGTACCAATAAACTCAATGAATAAGTTAAAAAAAAAAAAAAAAGAAAGAAAACAGAGCATTTTACAGACACTTGGTTAAAAGCCTGTTTACTCCTGGCTGCTCTCCATTGCCCATTCTCTTAATCCTCTTCCCCAAAGCCCTTAACTCAGTGAATCTTTCTAAGCATTGGGAGGTTTTTCTGTCTGCTGCAAAGAAAGAAATTGAACACACTCTGATATTTTAAAACCCAGAATGGTAATAATGTTTCTCTGCCTCCGGGTTTGAGAGAAAATAA